TAAAAACAACCTTGTACGATTTACGGATATTATAATCAATATAGTTTCGGCGTAGGTATTGTTCAGTAAAAATCTCTAGTGAAATTGATTGTAGAATTGAAATAAAAAATGTATTTGACGAAATATAAGTTTCGTTATTTAAATGCTATTGGATGTTTAATTTTAAAGTGTTGAAAATGGAAAATAAGGGAGGGGAATTGAAAAATTTGTATTATAAATGTGAAATTTATATAGTTAGATTGCGATAAAATTAAAAACTGTATTAAATTTGAAATTGTATACATGCACTCGCTTCCATGAAAATTATCTAAAAATTACCTGGTAAAAATAAATTCCATCTGTAAAATAAAATTGTCATTATTTTGTATAATCCAACGTTGTCCAGCGTTTAAATCTTACAACTATTTCTGTACCTAAACATGTTCGTTAATTCATTTACCCACTCATTATAATATTGTGTCAAATTTTTAGACACTTTTCACCTACAGTTTTAAGTGGTGCAGTAAACACGGAAAGGCACTTGAATCCGTTTATGCACGTTATTGAATATTATAGATATATAATAACTTTATTGAATATTTAAATTAAACATTAAAATTATGTATACACTATGCACCCACGTTTTGTAACCGTATGCTAATTTTGCGCTTATAATTCGTTTAGTTGGCACCTACCCAGTACCCTTATAAATCATAATACTATCGTCAACGAAAAGTTTTGGTAATAATTAAACAACATAATTTTTTTTTTTATAATTTATAACCGGCAATAATAATAATATTGCGTATTACGATACTTTGAATTGAATGATATGATACATCTGTCACTATAATAATGTATAGTATTGTTGTGTTGGGTTTTTTTTATTTACTCATAAATTTAAGAAGCGACGTGTACACCAGATCCGTTCAATTCGGTTCGGTCCACTTCAAATAACGCATATTATCGCGCCCGATTCGGGTACATTTTGTTAGTCGGGACATAATGACGGACCGAACTGATGTGAGTGAAATGTAAGAAAACTGAACTGAACGAATTCAGTAAGCGCTATGGTAATATACAATTTTACTGAACGTAACTGAGCCTGCAAAGACACCTTTTTCGGCACCCCGGGGGACTATTTCTTTAGCACCCTTTCATGTAAAAACAAAATGTATGCAACCAACTGGAATTTCTAGTGGCACACTTTACATTTTGTAAACTTCGCACTCTTTTTGCTCTAAAACACCATTTCAGGCCCTACCGAGTGACTGTAAACTGTGGAATGGGGTTAATATAAAAAATGGTCACGTTCAAATACAAATTAAAATTTTTAAGTAGAGAAGAAGTATCTGCTATTGATCATAAATAATCACGATAAAATCTATTTTTTCGTGATAACAAATATAATAACACAGAAATTACTATTTTTACTATTTTAAGATTATGAAGCCTCCATAAAATGTGGTGCCAGAGCCAATGCCACCTCTCGGCTTTCCTAAATACGTCCCTGAACTCTGAACTTAACGGATCCGGTGTGCTCGCTCCTTTATCTTTATAATTACGTTTATTCATTATACTTAGTTATAGTTTTTCGTCGCAACACCTTCGTCGTTATAACCGTGTATAAACAAACGTAACATACTAATGTGATAATAATACAAGCGCAAAACTGCATAATATATAATTTTATTTGAAATTATACGTTTCGGGAGTGTTATTGCGTATATTATATTATATTTATTTTAAATTATTATCGTATAGATATATCGCGTTGTAATTATTTTAATCACTCGGTGTATATTATATCCGTATATGCATATTATAAGATACAGCGATGGGGTCACCTGTTCACGCGATATTCAAATATCGTATTTCGAGAAAATAAAAATAGAAAAACTTCGGAGTCAAACACGCGTATTGATTTATACCGCACGCATGTACTTATTATGATACTTATATATATATAGGTGTAGGTAAAAAATATGCAGTATATAGTTACCTATATACTGCATTTTTTCAATAAATAATATATTCACTGCGATAATTACTGTAATAATAATTCCTCAGCAGATATATTGTAAAAAAAAAAATCGCGCGTCGCGGCCGACATACTCTCCGTACATTCATGATTCGGTTTTTAACCGGACTCCTCGCGGGTATGGTATCCGCTGCAGGTGCCTATATACTTACTCGCCCGGTAACGGAAGTCGATTCTCGTGTATAGTGGTTTTCGTGCAGCTAAAAGTAGAGGAGATGACGTGGACGGGACGGAATAGTCCGCAAGAATCTCTGTATATTAAAAAATAATATTAATAACACACTGTTGCCGGGTCGCGTGGAACTTTACAGTACCGATAACTGGCTGCCGGTTCATCAGAATAATAATTAGAAACCGTTCTGTAGGTAATGGAAAAAATGTTATCAAACGCTCTAGTTGTGGAATCGATAAGTTTGTTGAACTGATTTCGGTTCTGTGAAATTTGCAGAGCTGTTTAAACACGGAATATTCCTTTATCGTTTGTTTACTATAATTTTGTTATCACGTAAAAACCACGGTTATATACTATACATTAGATGCCGGACTCGGTATTTTACCGTTTTTGAAGCCAAGTAGGTGGGACAATGTTTACAATCTGTTACCAATATTATTATGATAACATAATTACCAATCATCAAAAAAATAGTTTTAAATACACTACAGTCTACATTTAATTTAAAATGTAAATACTATTTTAACATAGGTAACAATATAATATCAACGTGTTTTAAATTATTATAATTTTGTTGGTTGTCATTAAGACAACATCGACTTGTAAACATTGTCCAATCTACATTATGACTGTGGCTTCATGTACGGGCACCGAATCAGGCATCTAGTAGATATACTATATACTAGATACATAATCTGCGGTAAAAACTAATAATAACCACGGCTGATAACAAAGTAAATCGTTAAAAACTATAGATACCATACACAATACACATAGATATCCAAATAATAAAATAATTTCAATACCTTGATGAAACGTAATTTGTTCATGCAACTCAGCATATATGTATATTATCATATTATCATAATAGTTGCGTACCCTATAGTATACGATCTACTGCCGTTGCGAGGTTTTTTTTTTTTTAAATTTCCGAAACCTCAATATTATTACAACGTAAATTGATGGGTACACATTATGTTGCCATGGCCTATGGTTTTTTTTCGTTTTTAATTATGACACCGTGACAAAAAGTGACCGTCAGTGTAGGCATGGGTGTACGATGCGGATCCGTAGAAAATCACTACGGCATTTAAGGTCGGCGAATAATACACAGGGAAAATTGTGTATATTAAAATAATAAATATTCTTAAAAATAATGTTATCAACACCTTCGAGTACCTATATAGACATCACGCGTTTTTCTATACATTTACGTGTTAAATTCTAATAATAATATAATATAGCTTGGTCATTTGCGAAAAAAAACTAGTTTTTAAAACCGTTGTTGGTTGTAAAAAAAAAAAAAAAAATTAATAGCTTCAATACCCGCAGCCAGCATAGGTATTATTATATACAAATACATTTCTTCATATAATATAATAATATTTTTTCATATTATTATTATATCTACGAGTATACGCGTGTGTGCAGTGTGCAACTTAAGTCAGTAAAATAAACTTCTTCGTTTATTTATTTACCAACTAATTTTTTTTTTCCATAATGGAATTCTTCATTTTATCATTAAACATTATCTAGGTTTTTTTTCTTTTACATTAACATCTTTTTTATTTCCCGTTAGGTTTTTTTTTTTTTTACCTTCTATGGGGAAATGATGTGATCGATGTATGACGAACAAAAATTATAGAAACAATGAACACTACAACAGGTCAGTATCTATATACTTATGTATGTATATATATATATATATATATATATAATATCGTAAGTATATATAAAGACAAAATAGCGGAATATGAGTGTCAGTTTGTCACATCATGTACGCGTATAGGATATGCGAGTACCTATACGGTATATAATATACAAGTATCGATAGTATGCACATATTTGAAGGAAAAAATAATATTTCCTCAATGTCTTTAGGTAGGTCTTATAGTCATAAAAAAGACGGATATACTTGGCACGATGGGTGGGCCACTGTCATAGGAGGAGTTGGATAGGTAGGATATACAGGGGATTTTAATATATATATTTGTACGCAACGATTAATCTTTGCTTTCAAAAAATGACCGTAATATTTACGATGTTCGTTAAAATTTGTTGTTAAAATTCTTTTATAAAAAAAAAAAAATATTACATTAAACTCAACTTCTTCTTGCTAACCACTAAGTACAATTTATAATGAACTTCCAGTTAAAATGTCAAATTCTGGTCGTTTTGAGAATTTTATCCACAGAGTATTGAATAAATATTATTTAAAAACTCGCAAAATTAAAATGTCTAATTGTTTAAAAATAGCTCAAATGTTTTAAACATTTTATCACGTCTATTTAAGACAAATATAAAGTTTCTGTCAAAATTTCAAGTCCCAATGAATATTTTTGAAAATTTTCCCATTTTTCCTATGTTTTTCCCCATTTATTTAGAAAACTTCTGGGAAAATCAAACAAATGACCTTCCTAAGTGCCACTCTAAGACAATTTCTTTTCAGAAAAAGTGTTATACTTGATACTTCGGAGCAAGATTTTTGGTAGAATTTGTGTGCACAATATAAAAAAAAAATATATATATATCTGTAAAACCAATACATTCTTTGCTACATTTAGAATTTAAAATAACTACTGTAAATTTACGCGTTTCCATATCATTATTATTATGTTATTGTTAAAATAAACATTCAATCGACAATAATACATTATTGATGTTTATTAGCAATTAAAATTTTAAAATTGAGTTTACGGTGTTTTATAATTAATGCATTGAACATTTTTCTAAAACTACGTAAAAAAATATTTCGATAACATCACAGAATTAATTAACCACTGTAATCCACTGTAATAAATAACAACTATGTCGCAAAATCAATCAATGGAAATCGCAAGATCGGTCCCTTGTATGAATGTAACGTCACGTATATTAGATAAACCCGACAATTCAATGGGATTTTTCAAAAGTTGTGTCACCGACCCTGAAAGAGAATTTGAAAAATTGACTGAGAAAAGCCGACCTTCCGTAAAGTCATTGATCGACAAACACAGATTGTTCCAAAATAAATTGATGGACGCAAAAGTAGCAGACTTTAATGTTAAAAAAAAATCGTTTGCTATTGCTTGCGAAAACTTGAATACATCGTACGATTGCTGCAGGAACATGGAAGGCGATACTCAACGGGTCGATAAAGTTGAAAACTTTGTAAGATAATATATGATATTCTAGTTATTAATATTATTAATTATTAAATATGTATATTTTAAAACAATCTATTATTGCTTTCCAATCCTATTTTATTAACGAAATAAAATATTTTATCTAGGTAAAAAATCACATGTTTGGAATATTTAATGCTAAAATAAACGAATGGAATGATACTAAAAAATCTGCACGAGTGCAGGATCATAAACTGGTCCAGGAAAATTTTGATTTTAAAACTGGCATGCCCGAATTAGACGAAACGGTGAACGATATGGGCAAACAATTGTTGCAAATTATTATGTCCTTGGTTAATATCAACCGTTATTACCATCGGTGTTTGACGGACATTTTAGATACGAAAAAGTTTAATAATCTCAATAGTGTAAAAAATCACGTTGGTTCGGTGTTGAAACAAGGAAACAAGGCTGAATCCACCGGGTCCGAACTGATTACCTTTTGCCAGACTAATTTGGAAAAAATTGGCCACGTTTTGGATAGTAAATATAAATTACCCATAGAGTCGAATAATCGAAAGTGCATAATCTATCATTCGAGATTGAGTGTGCTTCAAAACGAGTTGACGGAAGTCAAGAAAAGTTGGAAGAACACTGAACACAAGATCGCGTTACTAGAGAGGGAAAAGAGAGACTTATTGAACATAAAGAATAGTTACGACAATGAAAATGTCCACAAAGTATCGCTGGAAAAACGCATCCAGGCTGAACAAAAGAGAAACGTAAAATTACGAGCTATGATGAGTAAAATTTTCGAACAGAAAATGCCATCTTATATCTTTTAACAAAGAATAATTAATAAAAATAAAAAAAACCAAAGATTTTGAATGAGTTTTAATCTATCGTAAAACGAGAGCGATAAAAAATGTTTTTTTAAGGAATAAAATACCTTTTAGAACCATTCGGAACACAGTGTTAAACACTTCGAAAAAACAGTATTTTTAAAATATTTTGTATAGTGTTCGGAATACTATCCATATCTGTCTACGGGTCGATTATTTTCAGGATTTTCTTAACCAGTGGACCTTTATTGTCTTGTCCGCGAATGGTTCTGCATATTTTAGTTGTCTTTTCTTTATTTCTCACGCACTAAAAACAGGTTCTGACGACTCAGTTCCGCTCTCGTCCTGTGTCTAAACTAACTTATCGCGCGAACAAACAATTCAAACAATAATTTTTTCGAAAGCCGGCAATGTTTATGCTCTTTTGTTTTTCGATTTAATTCCTGTACAACTCTTTTTGATACGGTACTATTATCGGTACGTCGATGTTTATTTATTTGTTTTATTTGTTTTTATTATTTATGTGTATAAACGGGCCGGTGTCCGATTAAAAACGGGTACGCAATAACATAATACCATAATATTATACATCACAGTTTACAACAATATGAAATTTTAAACAAGAATGAGCTAATGGCATTTATGTATTAAGGAATTCCCGTAGAATTTCGCTTTCGTACGAATTCGTTCGTAGCCCGCGCCCCTTTCGCACGGGTGTCCTACGGAGTGCGCTGTGGTGACTTGGTGTACGCGCATAATAACATAACGCCCGATACGTTTTATATACAGCGACGAGGGCGCAACAATTGGTGTTGCCATCGAAAAAACGCGTTATTAAAACGCCTCGACATCGGAATAATAATGATGATAATGAAACGGCGTAAGCCCGTACGACAGAGCGTAACAGGGCTATTTTACATTTTCACGCGCAGCTAAAAATAGTCGTGTTAAACTGTGTGTAACAACAGCGCGCGTTCCGTTATTGATAACGCACCGATAATACGTGTTATAATTAATACTATTCGCCGACCGTTGTTTCCCGCGGGCGGAATGGTCCTGCAGCGATATAATCGAATCCGACGCCGATATGTCTCGGGTAACCGGATTTCAAACGCCGACGAAAATAATGCGGTGTGCGCGGTGGCAGATGCTTAATCATCGGGGGATCGCGATATTGTACTTACACAACATATGTACGCGACACACGACATCCGAAACCTCGAATAAAACATTTGATTCCGTATCAGTATAATCCGCTCGGTGTAATATACGTATATTACAGACGATGATAACGATTCGATTCGATTCGATTGTTTTTTCTTCGTCCTCCTCCGATCATATTTGTTGTACGACCCTACCCCTCAAAAACTTGAATTGGAGTTGTACCGTTTTTCAATAAATAAAATAAGACGTTGGGAAAGTAGTAGACGGGAAATTGAATGAATATCCGTACGCAACGATTGCTAAGTAAAGAAAAAACGGTTCTGATCGGAGTTCGGTTGCTTTATCGACAATATATAATATATGTCATATTATGGTGAAATAATTACATGTGCATTGAACATTTTTTATTTTCCCGGTTTTTCACTTTTGTTGAAAAGACTTCTGGGAAAATCGAAAAATGACCTCCCTACAGTACTCTAATCCCTCTTATTACTTTTTATAGATGTCATTTACGAACGATGTGATTGTAAAATTCTTCTCGAACGTTCCTACAATACTAATTCGCATATTATAATTAATGTTTCGATCTACGCGCGTTTTCCGTAAACGTGCTGATTTGTACTGTAGCAGTTGGTCGTTGCAAATTTTTTGACAGTCATTCATATTAAGTAATCGAATTCGGTGGCGACTGAATAAAAAACAGTTCAACCGTTACAAATGATCTTTTATATTCATACGTATTAAATAAAAAAAACAAACAAAATAATAATAATAAATAAAAAATTCAATATAAAAATCTATTTAATGGCGACTGTTGCGCACGAGGTTAATGTTTTGTAAATTGTGATCTGAATTAAATTTTTAACATGAAGGATACATTACTATTATATAATATTATATTATACGCCAGTTAAAATAATGTCTAGTACTTAATTTTTATTAAAATTATGTACATATACACTGTATAACATGGACATATAGGTGGGTTACCTATCGTAATTACTAAAATCATTAAGGAAATCAAAAAAAAAAAAAAAAATAATAATAATAATATTTTATTACTTATGATTGATGTGTGTTAGACAATGGGACACACGAGGATGTAACTAATGGAATATTAATTTATTTTACACATTCAACTATGAATATTTATTTTTATAAAACTTTAATAATGGTTTTACTAGACATTTGTTTACATAACTAGCTTTTTTACCTATGTTTCCGCTCGTGTATGAAGATAAAAGTATGAACATCGCAGTATAATAATATATATAGTGTGTTTGGTGTTGTAATGGGACACAGTAGCATTTGACGTGCAATATAAGGAACTGTATGAAATGATAAAATTATTGTACATAACAAATGTTATCAAACGGCAGAGACTTCAATAGTTTGGAATGCGCAAGGAAAAGGAATAAGTGATCGGAACAGCTATAGAATGGATAGTATAATAGGTAAAATGCCAAGCGGCAGACCTAGAAAGTGTGGGTTGAACGAAATTTAAGAAGACCGGTAGAAAATGGGAAATGTTGGCTGGGAAGAATGTATATTATAGACAGATATACAGCAGAAAGCTAAGGTTTTTAAAAAGCACGGTGAGCTAAAGGGAAAAAAACAGATACATTCTAATACATTCTAATCGTATTTCTTTTTTGAATTATAAAATATAATATTTTATGGAATCCGACCGAATAAAAATATGCAAGACAGTAAACACACAACGCGTAACAAAACCAAATTGTAATATAATTCTTTTTTTAAAATAGGTTAAAAAAATATAATCACTAAACAATCGGTTTCTATATTCTACCCATCACGGTAGAATTAATAATAATTAATAATATTATTGTTATAGTGTGTACAGTGTACGTTGTACATTTTTACAATATATTATCCATTTGTAACGCACGGTGACTTGGCGTATTATTTACATATGATTTATGAACCGAATCTATTACAGGTCCTCGCTTGTAATAATATAATGCAGCGATTTTAGTCGATCACAATACCTATATATCTGTATTGAAATTAGAAAAAAAAAACAACAAAATTACGAACATACTTTGCATTTTGGGTTACCCACTGTTGTAAGCGAAAGCTGTTATACATCCTATATGATGTATAGCTGGGTAATTTGGTTTATATACCAAAACCAACTGATCGCAATCAAAAAACGATTCTGGGCGGAGCTTGTTAAACTGGTAAGGTTATAAACTTATAATATTGGTCTTGTTTCCCTCCTTTTGTATGCTGAGGTAACCCAGAAATCAACAAAAATAAATTCGCGCATATATCCTAATTTGTTTTCTATCTTAATACATATATTTTTATAAAGACTGTTGACAATCTAGAAAAATTTTTGCATATAAAATACTGTCGCATTAAACGGATATTCCGAATCTTTTAAAATGTAATACTCGGATAAATTTGTCTAACCGTAAAAGTTTTTTTTGAAAAAAAAAAAAAAAAAATCACACATTAGAAAAAAACTAATATTTACTTGTTATTTTCTATACTCAGAAACAATCGGATTTCATGCTCGCGGTATAATTAATTTAAAACAATATGATTATTATGGTACGTGTATTCATAAAAAAATATTGTTATAATGTAAATTTCATCAATTATAATGTTCGGCCCGTCCCCCGTTGAACATTTCTGGATGTTACGTCACTGCACTCGGTGACTTGGCGTATTTATTAGATCTGGTGTACTCGTGCATTTTACGCTAAATCTATTTGAGATAGATCCACGGTGCTTAGCGTGTAATGAAAAATTATACCTACAGTGCGGAGATTTTATTCGCGATCCTTATCGTAGAATATTATACATTTTAATTTTAATCTAATATTAAAAATATGCATTTTGTCGCATTGATCGCGCGTTGACTGACGCGGGCAACTGCATCGGCTGTGTACACTTATCGCCCACGCAAATGCAGCGGGCCGACTAATTGCGTATATTTTATCTTAAAAAAATAATCGTGTCGTTTTATACGCCTCCGTAATAATTACAATATATTTTAATATTATAACACACGGAAACGCCTAACGCATTATATTGAACTATATTTTATCGGCTTACTGCCGCAAAACTTACAGTGCAGGTGAACGTGAACTGCAGCAGTTATCGTATCGTTATATAACAAAACTGCAGTAACATTAGCTACGCGGCCTGTATCTACACGATTTGTTTTTATTAATACGTTTATAATCTCATTAAACGGTTTACGTTCTTATCGTGTACAGTAGTTTATAGCGTTTTTTTTTTCTTTTCTTTTTTTTTTTCACGAAAAATCTTGTAAATAAAAAATGTTTCTTAAAATTAAATAGTATATAATAACGTTTATAATATCGCAATCGTCGTTAATTTCATCAAATCGGGTCGATTATATATGCATTTATAATAGATATTTATGTACACTACATATTGCGGTCAAATGCTACCTACTTAACCTATATTTATTGAATTTTTTAAAAAGCGTTCGAAAATTAATAAGTAAAACTTTTCATGCGTTACATGTTATATTATGATATTATAAACGTGATAATATATTATTATTTATTACACTCGTAATAGAACATATTATAACGTTATAATATTATTATTGCAACTGTTGATAACACAAATAAATAATCGTATATTAGAATAAATTATTATTATTTTTTATGAGTTTTACCCCGAAGCGCAACGCGTAGTCGTGCAACGTGGTGTGGTGGATATGTAGTACGAATTATTTTTTTACAAAACTAATATAGGTCGCGTGTATGTTATTTTTTGTTTGTTTCATTCAAATAATATATTAAACATATTAGAAAAAAAAAAAAAAAAAAAACAAA